CCCCTATAGAAATCTCTGGGATTGTCATAGTTAATGGGTGCGGGATGAAACCGCCCAATTCTCGGGGATGCCCCTGTCATGTCAGTGGACATCCATGTTCATCGGTACACATTTTAAATAATTTTGATTAATAACGTATATGTACATCGACACAGACTGTGCGCAGTCCGTCCTTGTGATACTGAGGAGTCTGTTTTGACCATCGATCACAATGGATAGTACTTGAAATTCCCGCAAAAAATATATATAATTGCTGTTGACTTTTGTGTCCCTCTTCTGTCTTCAATACTAGGAATCGCCGTTTCTCTACACCAACGTGAACAGCGGGAAGGGCGCACCATCCACCAAACGACCGGTGACGAAGGAGAAGGAAGGCGGTTCAGTCACTGCGGACACTGCAGACGACGGGCCTGGCGGGAATGCTTCAGTCTTCAGCCCTGCTCATCAGTTGACACTCCTCGTGATTGGTGCCTTCGTCAGCATGTTCAACTCGTTTTAGTGTTTATTTCATGGACTCCTTGCAAAACTACGGCAACTTCTAGTCTGACTATCACCCGCTCTCACCAAAGCTGTTCTAAACGAAAGTCTGATAGGTGCGAATGCTATACTCAACCCGTGCGCCATTCAATCGGAGCTGTTTGTGAGTTAATAACATGCAAGAAACTGACTGTTGATTGGTCGATGGCTATCACCTATCAGCGTGTTTGTTTGTTGGCATTCAGAATTTCAAAATTCAGGAATAAAAAGTCTAATAAAAAATAAACAGCGTAACTACAATGATCTCTTTCGATTTGCATGTACATGTATATCATTCATATGCACTGTCTATCATGTATGCATTTTCTTGAAAAAAGTAAATAAATTGGAAGTAGATTTATTACTTGATTTTCCATCCTTCGTTTGTAAATATAAATATAAATAAATGTTTTGATAATTATGGCTCATTTAGTCGTGATTGAAAACAGGGTGCAAACAATAGTTATGTATTAAGTATTAGGCTAGCATACTTCAAATTGTTTTGTATCATATTGTGGTTTACAGTAAGATGAACCTCGATCGAAACCTTTGCTTAAACTAAGGGGCTAGACCAACTAAAGGATGGATAGATAGATCGGTTTATTCATCCATAAATCGTGGCCCGAAGGCCAAATTGCATGTAACAGGTTCATTTTTAATTATCATTTTTTCATAAATCACGTCGTTTTGACGAACTTTTATTTTTTTAAGCTAGGCCTATACTTTCTAAAAATAAAAAAATATCATTACAAAAATAAAATATCTTAGCACTTTTTTGAAAGATGTCAATATTTTTGTAAATCACAGCATGTTTTTGCAGTTATCTGAAAAAACACCTCAAGTTGGTAAAAAAAATTGTTGCATCAAAATGCAATTTCAAGTCATTGTCACCAGAAAATACAAAAAAAAAATGCATAACATCTTGGATTAGAGCTTGTAAATTCTTCAATGTTAGGTTTTTTTTCAAAATGAAGCATACAATCGGTAAAACGTTTGACCGAAAATATCATATCCTTAATAAGTTTGCATACTTCTTTTAGAATATTTCATTCGATTGCACAATACACAAATCAAGAATTTAAAGAAACGTGGTCAATTTGCAAAACAAACTGTACTTTATTTCGTTCTAGCTGAAACTGCAATATTAACACTTTGTCCTACATTATTATACAAGTATCCTTACTATAATTCCAGGAATCTCTGTGTGTGCATGTGTGACTGGGTCTGTCTGTCTGTACGTCGATTATCTCCATAACCGGGCACCGTATGAAGTTGAAAATCGGCGGGTATAATGCTCGGGACTACAGAATGTGCAGTGCCAAATTTGAAGTTGTTTGGATTAGCGGTTCTCGAAAAAGTTGCAAAAAGAACAATATTTTCTGAGGCAAACGTGGCAGTATAGCCTACATCATACGTACGCTACTGGTGGAAAGTTTTGATGAATGGCGCGGCGGTAAGCATTCGTCGAGCTCAGTACCTGTTGCACTGATTTTGACGGATCGGACTGAAGAATGGCCACGGCAATATTGATGCGGCCATACTTATTTTCCAATCTACGATGCATTTTGTTGTATACACTCCTCTGTTGTTTTTACGGGGCTAAGGCTGCTGGTAAATACTTGCAAGTGTTTATTAGCAAACCCTATTGTTATTTACATGAGTCATCCACTGATCCAGTTTAGGAATTAAAATGGAGGGGGGGGGGGGCGAAATAGCTGGTTCTTCTTGGCTAAGGTACTTAATGTGGAGTATCTCTTACAGGTGACAAATTACACAACATCTCTTAACTCTCGGTTACAAATTACACAACAGCGACATTTTCTTGGCCAAATGCGACCGCCAGCAGAGCCTTTGGCTCTGCTGCACGATCCGCCATTATTGTACACTATTCGCGATCGACTGCGTACGTGTACTGTACATACCACGCGTCGACGTCGGCGACCAATGTACATTGTCGATCCAAACAAAATTTGTTTGAAATACAAAACCTTTACGACAGTAGCGCATCCAGGATTTGGTTTGGGGGGGGGGGGCTCTTTTTTTTTTACAAATTTGTTAAAAGTTTAATTTTTTTCCAAAATATTTTGCCCAAAATTTTTGGCTGCAGAAAAATTTGTTTTTTTTTTGCGGGACGGCCTATTTTGACGTTGGTGGAGCCCCCTTTTTTTTGGCCGAATGCGACCGCCAGCAGAGCCTTTGGCTCTGCTGCACGATCCGCCATTATTGTACACTATTCGCGATCGACTGCGTACATACCATGCGTCGACGTCGGCGACCAATGTACATTGTCGATCCAAACAAAATTTGTTTGAAATACGAAACCTTTAAGACAGTAGCGCATCCAGGATTTGGTTTTGGGGGGGGGGGGCTCAATTTTTTTTTACAAATTTGTTAAAAGTTTAATTTTTTTCCAAAATATTTTGCCCAAAATTTTTGGCCGCAGAAAAATTTGGGTTTTTTTGCGGGACGGCCTATTTTGACGTTGGTGGCGCCCCTTACACCCCTATTGTACTACTCGAAAACTGGCCACATTTATATCACCAAGGCCAAATCGTGGGACTAAAAAAAAAAAAAATGAAAAAAAAACATGAAAAAAAAATGACAACCTCTTGGGGCGGGGGGGGGGGGCTCAAGCCCCGCCCCCCCCCCCCGAGTGCGCCACTGCTTTACGATGCACACCTTGTTAAATTGAGTACACATTCAATCGTTTCAATTACCTTTTGTGCGCCATGTTTTCATTGGAAATTACCAGAAAGAAGAAAATCTAGACGTGTGATGAACCTAGGTAGGAGGACTTTCTTTAATCAAGTATCTCTCTCACTCAATTTGTTTCTTTTGATCGCTGCTGTATGTTTCTTATTCTGTCTTCTTTTTAAGGAATGAGCATCAAGCTAAAAAAATATCAAATCATAGTTGCGGCAAACCATTTTTTATCATAGAATAAGAGAGAAAAACGTCTGTTTATAAAGGATTTTCTTCACTAGTAAAAACTAGTGAGGTTTGCAGCCCTGGAAAATAACGAAGAATGAACTGCTATGAAAATACCGATTCTGGAATTCAATCTCACTATTTGATAGCAGTGAGATAGTATGCTTCTAGGACATCCGAAGCGTTTCATCAGTTATAAAGCATAAAAAAATAGGCGAGTACGATTCATTCTTTCATCATTTTAATATTTATTCGATATTGAGTAGCAAACATGATTTCAATCGGTGAGTGGGCGTCTGAATGTAATTATCAGAATGTCACTCGATTGAATAGATTTCATCTGGGTAAATGCAGCAAAACACTTAACATTAATTATAATGTTAACTTTAACAGTATTATTTTTTTTTTAAAAGTGGGTGTTTGTAGTCATCGCATCTTTTGCTATATAGTGACTCCAAAATAAACGTCAGTACTTCAAAGACGAAATAAAAACCGACTTTGGATTATGCAATCTGCTTTTTTCCACTTGATATGCACTCAATGTTCAATTCTGAATGTACCCGACAATTCCCAATCTACCTTGTCAAATATTATAGGCTTACACAAAACAAATACACAAAGAAAAGAATAAAATAAAAATAATGTTTGCAAAAAGGTATAAATCTGAGTAAAATTTTTTCGTCCTTACACTTGCCATGCATAATACAAGCCAAAGTAATGAAACGTACTTGTCAATAGCAATATAGAAGACGAGAGTGCCACTCATGTTGGATTGCAACTGGTTTTTAGGGCGGCGTAATTTTAAAAATCTGTAACTTTGTTTCACTTCCTTTCCGGGGTTCGTTGTTGAGGAGGCTTACATTAAATAAGTTCAAGACACTCTGTTTGAGTGAGTATGAGTGTGCATGGGTTATTTGGGCACACTGGTTTTAATCTAGTTCACGAAAAAGTTGACTATCCTGTTTCAAAATCAAAGCTTAAAGGGCCCATGACATGAATTTTATTTGGGAAAATATTTTGTGCAACTTCCTTCTCCTCTTAAATGTATATGAAAACAACTTGACATCCCTTTTTGGTTAATCTAGTTAAAAAGAGCACTTCTTTAAACATTTTAAACAAAATCCATGCTTTTCCGGACAAATGAGGGAGCTGTTGCTGTGATGTCATTTCAGGAAAACACTGTTCATTTTAGGTGTTTTCTGTTCAAATTGTGAACCCACAAATTTACTCATTGAAAATATTTGTGAGAAAAGTTTGTTCATTGGCTGTACTGTCATGTACCGACACAACAACGAGTCGCTAAAAAAAAAGAGTTAACGACAGCGAAATATCCCAAATTCCGGCAACTTTGTGTGCTGAATTTTTTGAGTTGTTACATTGAGGTTTCCGCCTGAAATGACATCATACTTTTGCTCATGAATTAACGGAAAGATTCATTTGCTAAAAACCGAAAAGGCACCAAAATACCCTTGAAAATGGCAAAATGAAATGGGAAAATACGGTTAAATGGGACACAAAGGTACTTTTTCAATTATTATATTAAAAATCTGCAACTTTTTTCACTCCTTTACCTTGAAATAGACATCTTTGACGAGTATGCGTGCGAGTTATTTGGCACTCTAGCTTTTATCAAGTTCACGGAAAAATTATTTGCCTGATCCTGTTTCAAAATCAAAGCTTAAACATATAAGTTTGTTTACGTGCAAAACTTTTGGAGAAAACTACACAAACATGTCGAAAACAGTTTTTAATAATTCAGAGAACAGCTCGGTAATCAGTCCAAGCATTACTTCTTTTTTTGCAAGCAAAAACATATTTCAATCGTTTATACCTGTTACAACGAGTTGAATGAGTCTAGCCGTACGACAAAAATATGTCTAATGGTTTGGTCAGTATGTAGAGGGCGGTATACCGTATACGTAGCGGTCAATTTAGCAACTTTCTAATCATTCTCTGTGGAGCTACATGTATCTTTAGAATCTAGTTTAAAGATATGATTCATCAGAGTTGCCTTCCGTAAGACTTTCAAAATTCTAAGAACGACTTAGTTTGCCATATGATTTTTTTGCTGATCGGCCAGCTGTTAATTTATACTCACAATGTGAAGAAGTTTGTTTTGGGGTGAGTTTGCAAAGTGTAATACGAATCAACTCAAAATGTAAACCGGTTCAATTCAATCACAAGTCATTCTAGGCTAGGGACAAGCTATCCCAGTACGCATTCGGTTCAATTAAACGTCATTCGTGTAATCGTTTTCCGTGTTGACGACTTTGTGCTGCAGATTCTTGTAGGAGAGTGCCTCTAGGCTCTAGACCTGAGGACGCCCGCTATGATCAACGTCGCAACTATGACCGCTGCAGCTATAACGCCGATCATGCAGGTACTCAGACCAAGAGGGATGTGCATCTACAGGGAAAACAAAAACTATTGTGCTATATATAGAGCATTTGACATCATGATTAATATGGACATTATTTTGGGTGAACATTTGTTCTGTTTCTGTTGACAAGCTTGTTAATGTGAAGTAGCTCTGCCAACTTCAAAGAAATGTTGTTGGGTTGGATCACTTATTCCCGCCACTCCCCCCCCCCCCCGCTTTTGAATAATTTGTTAGACCTACCGGTCCGTTGCTGACAGGTTCATCTATTTGTCCAGATATCTTGGTGTAGTGATCCACCCCACACGAAACATTGTTGCTGGCCCCATCACGAACGGTGAATTGGACCATAGGACAACAACAGCTGGCACTTCAACAAAATTACGCAAAATGATTATGTTTAAATCAAGAATCATCATTTATAGAATTTCTCGAGATATAGCTTTGTCTTTAAATTGAGCTGTATTGAGACTCGAACCTCCGACTTTCGGTAAAACGCCGGAACAGTGTTTCGGAGGTCACTGTTTCGAGTACTGCTCCGGTCATTTCTTTGTGCAATATTACCGCTATGCTGTGTAAAGCGCAGAGTGTACAGCAGGTCATGCTATACGACTGAGGGCTTGAGACAATGGGGTGTGTGCGATAATAATAACCCCGAGGACGTTGGACCAGTCCTCGGGAGCTTTTCGTGTACAAACGTTATGGGAGCTGTCGAGAAAAAGTTGAAAGTACAAACAAAGGGAACAAAAGAAGGGAACAATGGAGGGTCCTCAATGAGAAGGGAACAATGGAAGGTCCTCAATGAGAAGGGAACAATGGAGGGTCCTCAATGAGTATAGTAAAACACGACTGAGTGGAGTGACGAGGCTTCGCGTCAACTGGGGCCGGCAGGAGGTTACAAGGCCCTGTCACACTGTTGCGAATAGAGCTAACGTGTGCCTGACGTTTTTGGAAATCTAGGTGTACGTTCGTGTAATAAGTTGTCATTCGTTCGTGACACGTTTGGCATAAGTTGTATTCTTTAAAAGTTCGCAAGGGTTCGAAAAGGTGCGCTGGGGTCTAGGACAAATTTTGAGCACATTCAAAATTTTGAGCGGTCGACAACGTAGTGATCAATACGCTATGTATACGTTGAGCATTCGCTGTGAGAACGTTTCGCACTTCGGGCGTAGGTTGGTTCTTCGTCAGCTGTTTGGACATATACGTCCAACCCAAGGATCTTTGTCATAATAGCGAATGCCCAGCGTAAACATAGAGTTTGTCAGAAGCTTGGTTCATACTTCATGCGAAAGCGAATGCGAAGCGAATTTGACATCATAAAACATTTGCTGCGAAATTCGCCCGAGTTGAAATATGTTCAATTTTTGCCACGACGTCACAAATTCGCGTTCGCTTTCGCGCAGAGTATAAACCGGGCTTAACGAATGGCTAACGAATGTGATGACGTGGACTTGGAGAGCGTATTTATGGGTCAGCAGAGCCACGTCACTTGACCGGCTGCAGCACGCTAGGCATACGTTGGCCGTTCGTTGCGTACGTTCAGCATTCGTTGGATGGACGCTACGCATGTGTTGTTATTCGTTACTATGGACGCTAGTTATACGCTCAGCATCCGTTCCTCATTCGTTGGGCATTCGTCTTATACGTCAGGAGTTCGCTAAAAAAAACACCCAGATTTTGGCCGAGAATTTGAGCGTATCTGGACTTTGCCAAATTTCGAGAGAAAAAATCAGTACGCTAGGCATAAGTTAGTTCTATTCACTACTATGTGACAGGGGTTTTTGGTGGGCGAATCGCAGCGTTGTGGGCGATCAACCCTGACCGTGAACAACTCTTGAACACACGCACGCATAGACACGTTGGTTCGTTATTACCTGTCAAACCTACCTGTACAGGAAGGTGACATCGTCAGCTGTAAAGTTCTCATAGACGAGAGACTGTTTGCCTGTACCGCCGCTCTCGATCTCAGGGTCCAGCACTACCTCAGTCACGATAGCGTCGTCCATGGCACGGGCGCGCACCCACCACGTGTGCTGTTGGCAGTCACGTCCCATCTGATCCACCGTGCAGCCACCGCCAGAACTTAGAATGCTGCAGGTCGGCGCAATGTGATCGTTTTTGTCTGGATTTTCCTATAGAATTTAAGGGATAGAAGATTAATGTTGTTTACTCATAACTGAATATTCTTTGCGCTAAATAGGCTATATTTTAGGGGCATTTTTATGAAAGTGCTATGATGGACGAGGAAACATTTGCGTAGCAGAAACCGGTAACCAGACCAAATTTCCAGACCAAATTTCCTGCCAATAGAATGGTCCTTAACTTGATTTTGCTTTGCAAAAAAACCCAATTGCGCACATCTCTAGTAAATTGGGTTCAGGTGATGATGTGCAGCAGGATATGCCCTTATCCTAACAGCCGATGAATGTACTTACATCTACTTCATCCTGTACTGCAAACACTGTGGCTTCAATGAACAGGAAATTACGGGACGAAGACACCGAACTCGTGACAAAAAGTGTCACCTTGCTGGGAAGACAAACACAAAATGACCATCAGTTCAGTACGAACCAATCCTTTAAATATCGACAAGCATTCGATGTATTTAATTTAAAGCAAAGACATGTTATTCTGAAACAAAAATGGACCATATAAATACGTTTGTGTATAAATTAAGTTGGGGACCTATACCAAAATTTACAGGACCATTTAAAAGTCTTTTAAGATTTGCTTTAAATTGTGCTTAAATTTGCAGGGAAAACACTCACTGAAGAAGGACACTTTAAGCAATGGGGTGGGCCTACAGGCTTGAGGTTTTTTGGAAATTGTTCCCCAACGACCCCAACCCTATCTCATTGACTTTGTAGAATTACCCCTGCGTGAAGGTAACGCTAAAGTGAAACCTATACGAATCGGCTGTAAGGAATCGATGATTAAGTCATGTTTGATGATCAAGGGACCCGGATGTCTTGCAGTCGAAAGCAGAGACAACACCGAATATTGGAGACCCCCCCCCTCCCCTTCGAGCACCTACACGGGTGTGCCAGCAGGTACGTCCCGGGTAGCGGTGACTGTCACCAGTCCCTCCCTGGTCTGCCCCGTAGCAAGCACCATACTGGTCGGTGACACCTGGGCGGTGACCAACGAGCCCGTGACGGCTGACGACAACGTCCTGTTCAGCACCGACACGGAAATGTTCAGCGTGTCCGCCGGGCCATCGTTGGTGACTCGGAAGCCAAAAGTCCCGTTACCTCCAGGGACAAGGTCCTCTGTATGGGTTTTGGATGAAACCACGAATTGAATATAAAAACTAAATGTGATTAGTAGGACTCTACTCGCGTAGAGTCCTACTTAGAGTTATTTCACGAGTCTGCACTTTAGTAAGCTTTAGTCCAATGAACAGTTCAGCAACATAATGACGCAAAAGAGTCTAATGTATTTGCAAGTGCGACCTTGCTTGCTTCGATTCTGCATGGCGTTCCGTGCAAGGAGCGACATGCATGATATCATCAGGGTTTTTTTAACCGTAAAAACTATGGTGGCTTTAAAGGGACATCGCAAATATTTGCGTCAACATTCGCGCCAAAAGTGTCACGTCTCGCTCTCCGGTCGCAAATATTGACGTCAATATTCGAGTCAAAAAGTTCACGACTTGTTCTGGGTAGCAAATTTTTAAGGACATTTTGTTTCCAGCAAGCTCGGTACTTGTGACCGGAGGGCGAGACGTGGAATTTTCGACGCGAATGTTGCCGTCAATATTTGCGACCGTAGAGCGATAAGTGAAATTCTTGTCGTGAAAATTTACACCAATATTCGCGATTCGGGGCACGTCGTGAATTTTTGTCGTAACTATTTACACCAATATTCGCCATTTGCGATGTCCCTTCAAGACCATCATAGAAAACTCTACAGTAGATAAATACGGAAGTTGTTAGGAAGTAGAAGGATCACAAACAATAATAAAAAAAAAACCAAATCGAAATTGGTATCTCACTGCGTTGAATTAATATTTCGCCGCGGCGGGTTGGAAGCTCACAAGTTACTCACTCGTTGGGAGGGGGGGGGGGGGGGGAGGGGGGGGGCGGAAGGCGATTTTTTTTTTTTACACAACTATCTGAAGTACCCTCAATTTTTTTTCAAGATATCAATTTTGATTTTATTTTTTAATTGCTTGTGGCCCCTCTAAGCTCCCGTAGATAACCGTATACTGTATAGCTGCAGACAAACATGCCAGTTTCTATACACAGCCTTGTACATGTATATCTCCCAAACAGCTTTGGGTTGTGTTTTCTTTTTTTATTCTCAAATGAAACTCCAAGAAGTCACTAACCTATAGTGTTGTTACTGGGAAGTTGCTCCAGTTTGAATTTCACGACTGTGATCTCAGACGGCTGGGTGCGGAGAAATTCCCTGCCCTGAGTGTCCAGTCCGACAATGCTGACAAAAAAAGGCTGAAGAAAAAAGTTCACACACCTGCGCTAAGGAAATCACAAACTATCTGAACCAAAAAAAAGGGACAAGCAATGAATTGTTCCATACTTTGAAAGGCCAAGTTGTAATAAAATTATTAACAAATCTTTAACCATGTCAAACACACTTGAATATATAATCTCAACATCGGTTCCAGTTTGATGACATACATATTTGTAGGTTTTCTCTGAAGTCGAAAAAGTCTAGGGAAGCATTTTCTCTCTTGATTTTGAATTTTCTTTTTAGATGGGGTTGCTCATCTAAAATGTTGAATTAATAAGAGAGTTCATGTTTACAGAGCACAAACAAGTTCAAGCAGGGAAAATAGTATGCATTTTAAACTGTGTCAGCGCGCCCTTCCTTCACAATACTTTTTTTTACCTATAAAAGGATTGATGCCTTAGACGGTTAATTTATTGATCAATGCGAGCTGAAAATAAACAACTTACCTCAGTGGGGAGAATAAGACTCGCCGTGAATATCCCTTCCGTCCTACCGGTCACTGGCTCAGCACTCGCCGTCAGGAGCGTTGCGTCACCCGCGGAGTTGTGCAGTCGTATCTCGCTGACGGAGGACGCGGTGTCCGGAGCTGACACTTGGATCATGAGCAACACCTCAGCTCCTTTGAATTGAAAGGGTTACAGGAGACGTTCTTATTCACGGCCGGTCGGGTGAAATATACCAATAACAATTACAAATGTACTATCAATACTATTTATTTGATTACATTTAAAACTTAACCGAAACGTCTGTGTTTGTAAACATATTTAAAAAAAAATGAACATGTTGTCATTATCAAAGAGAAATATGAGAAATGGAGCATATATTAATTCGCCCCGGCTGTACAGCAGTGAATAAACCCCTGAATCGTTTGGAGACAAGACATTCATTGTCTCCTCTCTATACAGGTTTTCGAGTTACAGTGCCTAGGACACTTTGGATGAATCCTTGTTTCATTACCAGAAAGAAAGAAATAATAATACAGAGAGTTATCCTTCGCTCACCCCCAACTGGTTTCCCGTCTATGGGAAACGCAGTGCCTGTTGCGTCCGTTTCCAGAATATCGAAGGTGAAATCCAGATGGCTGTTTGCTGACACTTTGACGCTGTACTCCGTTGACAAATCCAATCCTCGTAGTTTTAGCAGCCAGTTGCCCTTGGCGTTCGGCTCGGTAACGTTGATGCTGAACACGAGCTGTACGTCCGAACTGGTGTAAACGTTTGCCCCCATCTCGCTCGGGGTACCTTCCATACCTTGAACAAGAAAACCGGGGGCCAATGGTATGAGTGTGTGTTTACAGTAAGCGAAACGTTATCGCTAATGTAATGATTCTGAGCTTACAGGGTTAGCGCAGATGTTTTTCTCCGCTAGTGCTGTTAGCACAGAATGGTGATAAGTACAGCCGCATGGTTGCGAAGGCCGATTTATAAAGGGTACGTCATACTTAATTTTGAATGAAATAACATGCACACTGACATGTTCACGTTGGCGGGCGAAATCTTTGGAAATCATTCCTCTCGTTTGGCAGATCGTATCTTCATGCAACTTTCAGGGTTTGTTTCCTTAATAATGATCCAGCTATGTGCTTAAAATCGTTTTGATATGTTCAGTACTTTTCGTTGAAATTGCAAAAATAGGCCTGGCTAGGTGCATTTTAAAAAGTTGTAACACTGGTGTTTGCAATATCGGTAAATCTTTTCAAGCCTCAAGAATATTAATAAGGTTCCTATTCATTATGGTGTGCAGTAAATACTGGCAGAATAGCCTCGTTCACGAGTTATTAATTATAAATACAAATGTATCACCCTTTTTGTCGGCTTCCGTTGGTCGATACCGAGACCCACGCGAAGTAACGCCGAGTGACGCTAATAAATATGCTAATATGCGCTCCGTCATTGTTGCCCCAAAGTCAGCCAACCTAAAAACCATGCACGTGAGTTAATTTGGTCAGCAAAAAAATCCTCGTCGAAATTTACCTTGCGGATAGTTTCAAGGTGTAACACAAGAGCGTTTGCAACAACAGATTAAGCTGAAATTCGGAATATACTTAGATGATATATGTGTTCAACTACTCGTGGAATTTTAACTAGAGGGGATTCCTAGAAATCGAGATAAATACATCATAATTTGGTGACGTTGTCGAACGATTTCTTATCGACTTTAAGGTCAGCTTTACCAGTAACCAGAATTGACGTTTCAGCATCGATGACGGCGATTTTGTTCACTGACATGAAGTTTAGAATGTCTTCTTCCGTTATAATTTAACATTTCAATCAACCTGAGCATATTTTCTGAGAAACACAACGTTCAAAAGGCCATTTTTTATTGGGGGGGGGGGGGGTGTGCATGAATTTCACTGTTCTGTTAAGGCAACCAAGTACGTAATGGGATTAACGTTGTTTACAACGGCGACTCTTAGGCCTTCGCAACCACACGGCTGGGTAAGCAAAGAATCCGTGGTTACCAGAGCCATGAAGAATAGTGTTATCAAGCATAATTTCATGGAGATGTTAAGCAGTAAATATTTCCATGCTTAGCCGGTAGCGTAAATAGGGGGCATCACGGGGGCACATGCCTCCCAGTGGATGTCCGTTCCCCCGGGTGCCCAGCCCCCAATTAAAATCTTGAATTGAACAAAAGTATATATAGTTTGCCATCTGGTGGCCCCCCCCTCCCCCTTAAAAGCTCCAAATATTGGTATCATTGGGTGTTTTCTAGAGCAGGCAGCAAAGAAAGGGGGCAGCAAACAAAACATAGTAAATCGTGACGTAATAAACAGGACACGTTTATACTACGCTGCTTTGGGAGTCATGTTTATTACTTCACGATTTACTATGTTTTGTTTGCTGCCCCAACGACGACTTTTACACAAATTACACGTTTGGGTCGAAACAGGACCTGAAAAACAGCTCTCAAAAGTACCTTTTTGTACTCATTTCATGACAGACACAATAGTCGTTTTTATTTCATCAAACCTTAGGCTACATATACCCGGAAAATGACGGAAATGTCCTCAACCATTCCACCACCTCTTTAAATTATAACGTAATGTTGTTCACAGGGGGTGCATACCTATGTCCCCCAATACCGATGTTCCCCGAAATCCCTACCAATATAACCTTAACCCTAACCCTTACCCTAGCCCTAACCCTAACCCTAACCCTAACCCTAATCCTAAGGATTTGGGGGGACATCGGTAGCGGGGAACATCGGTAGCGGGGAACATCGGGTAGATCCCGTTCACAGGCCTACGTGTATGCTAGATCTTGCAATTAATAATGAATGCAGTGCTGAATTCAACCATCATTGTAAAGTAGTTCCCTGCACCGTAGTTCACTGAAAATGAAAGTGTTTAGTGTTCTTGCACGGTGTTCTAGGGAAACAGGCATCCCACTTTTAGTTCGTTTCTTTTCTTATACTTTCCTTGACAAACTGTATCAAGACATTTTAAAAGAACCTGTTTGATACCATTGGGATTCATGATGATCACGGTGTTACTCGACAGCGACCCGACAACAGACACCAGGAGCTCCCTCATGGTGGAATCGACGGGTATGTCCACATCCAAAGCACTATGGCCCCTTGAAGTCCTCTGGATTATTTTCACCTGGTGTGCGAAGGAAAAGGTTTTGATTTTCATTTGTGTCACCACCGAAACTTCAGTAAACATTCGACCCCATGGTCTTGTCGTTAAGTGTTTCATTTCTGTCATTCATCAGGCGCGGATCGGGGGGGGGGGGGTTCACCCCCACTCTATGTAAAAGCAACTTACAGTTTCGAGGTATGGTTCAGAAAATACAAAAAGGAAATACTTTTTTGTAATGGGACTACTCTTATACCACGAAATTCCAGAGTATATTCACAAAAAATTTGTGCCGGACAGGCATCAATCTGCCTAAACTATTTCAAAAAAAAATACCACCCTCTAAAGTCTAAAATAATACCTGAGAGGCTCGGATGTCGCCTTCTATAATTTGTGTCAGTTCGCGGATCCCACTCTTGTCTGTCCGGTAAATCTCCCCGCCTGATGCGGCGGCGATACTTACATAGGACGGCGACACACTCGATATATCAATCGCTGTGGAAACATTGATAAACAAAAGAGCTGGCATCAGGACAAGTTGTCATTTTGAGTAGTATGGTAAGAAACTGCTCTTCAATCAACGAATAGTATAGTGTTGTGAAGTGCATGCGATGCTTCCTTCGTAAGTATGGCCACCTCAACTTACGAAGGAAGCATCGCGTGCACCTGTCGTTGATCTCCGTTAAAACAAAATCTAGCTGCTGAGTTGAATTCTCCGTCTTCGATATTATCGCTGCCATAGCAAAGCAATTTCAACATACCATCACCAACACCACGAAGTAGCACTCCGTCGTGTGTAAAACCATATTTTGTCGGTTTTCATTTTTTCATTTTTCAATTTTTTTTTTTACATTTTTAAACATTATTCATCAAGGCCTACCATTGCACGAAGTTTCAAAGCTTCAAGAGCTTTACTGTAATAATTACGCTAATTATCCATGGCAACTTTTGCACGAGAGTGACAATTTTTGTTTTCACGAAGTAGTACTCAAGTTCCATTTACCATTGTAATGCATGGCGCGCAAAGTACTTAAATGCGAGCAAAACGTTTTCACGAAGTAGCACTCTTATCTCCTTGTGTCAGGCCTGGATTATCCAGCACTGTGCTGGCCTTCGAAAAATTCGGGAGCCTACGAAAATATCACAGTGTGGCCTGGATTGCTTAGTATAGCTTAGCATCAACATGAAATTGGTGCTGGTGTATAGGGTAACTAGGGCCTACGGAACACTGGTGCCTAGGGCCTACGGAACACTTAATGGACACATCATTACACTAGGGTACGCTCTTCAGGATATAGATGTACATGTATGTCAACATTGTATACTCGCGCTCACATCAACACAGCGCATTTTAAAAGCTTTTGTACTTTGTCCACTTTTCAGTGTTATTGAATACATTTTGGTTGTTGCGATGTTGGAAATATACCTTAAAATCCACAATTTTTTTCTCATCACGAAAAACTGTGGGGATGATTCAATAGCCCATCCCCCTTGTCTTAAAGGGGGGATATATACCCCCCCCCAGGATTTACACCCCTGCAGCCAAGTAATTCCGGCCTATGTATCCTCTTTAGTGACGACTAAAGAAGTCCGATCCTTCGTCGTGCGACCGTCTTCTTGCGCGTTTGTGCGCCTTTGATGAGCGTTCGCGCAAAATGGCGGTAGCGTTCGATAACGTAAATTTTGGGCGAATGGCCAGTCTAGGTGTTTGCAACATGTCTATGGCCTAATCTCACCTCGTTTGCGTCGTCTGGAGGAGCAAGTACCGGTTAAGAGATAGATGACACGGACCTCCTTCTGCTCAATTAGAGCCAGGACATCCGGCACCTTCTCGCTGTCCTTATCGGTGGCGTCTGTGAACACGTACACATTGGCTCCATTGATACTGCAACCGGTTAAATGTTACCATAAAAAGGTTATTTTTACAATGCATGTTAGGAAAACAGTCAAAAAAGCGCGTCACACAGCAATTCTTTTGCATAAGGCACCACAATGTTTTACTTACAGTTTGAAGCGCGGCTGCGGGATTCCACACGGTGACCGGGGGGGGGGGGGGGTGAAGCCTGATAAGAGCGAGAACGATGGTCTGTGTGCCTCTTCCATTCGTAAAACAGGGGTGTGCAAAATGGTGATAATAGAAATATCCCTTTGAAAGTCGTTATTTGTATGCTTTCTTGCTTCTACAGGCATAATTCAAGCAATTGTTCTATACCGAATGTTTATATTAGTTTAGTATTGAAAGAGCAATTCTAGAAAAGAATCTGTATAGTTGCTTCGTGCCATCGCGCCGCAGTGAATCCCGTACGCCGACACGTGGGAAATGCACTTACCGTGTATAGTAGCACCTTCAATGACGCCCCTATAACCCCTACACAAAAATGATCTTTTTTTGTGGAAACGCTTTTTTAAGATTTCGTTTTTATTCCTTGAAAGATTCATCAAAGGTCTCATCTTTACTCCAGAGTCGTTTGAAGGAAATCGCTCAGTTCAACATGATATCGCGAATACCAAATTCAAAATGGTTTGTCTCCAACGTTTGTTTGGGTGTATGACAGTCTGGTGCCTGGCTCAACGAGTGAGCGATAACGTTGTTCGTAACTAGGAATTCGACTGGCTCGGCGTGTTTGCTTGGTGACTGTCTATGGGCCTTTCCAAAACTCTGGCTTTGTATTAAGAAATTAAGGCCGCCGGCAGGCAACTTCGTGGACTCTTGGTGGTGCCTGTTAATGTTTCAAGACTTATCAGTCGGTTGATACGAAACCAAGAGTTGGTAAATTCCGTTTGGTTGGCATCTCAGTGGTTTAGAATTCAGAGGAAAAGCCGTAGCCGAAGACGAAGCCAAGGTTTCGAAAAACCCCGTGTGTGTTGTCAACCGTTGAGCATTGCAATACGATATCGCGCCGTTTCGAAAAGCATGCAGGGCCCGGCGCGCTGTAGCTACGGTAGCTATCTAGCTCTTTCGCTCGTACCCCCGCCTCCAAACAGGACGCTGGGAAGGGCAGACGAATTAACGCTCTGATTGGATAGATTTTGCGTGACCTGTGACCTGCAAGTCATCACGACCACGACCCTGCAAGGTTTGAAATGGCCGTTAAGACTGAGTCATTCATCGCTCTTGTATTCCCATTCATAAATGCGACGCCCCTTTTTTGGTTGAAAAGCATAACAATGTAGGAAAATCTGTAAAACTTTTCTGTTTTTAAATTTTCAACCCCCCCCTCAGTTGCTCGGGGGGGGGGGGGGGGGGTACGAGCGAATCTAGCTCTGTGTGTAGGCTCCTTGTGTAAAGGGTGTGTGCACGGACAGCGATGTATACAATATACAATGGGTTTGCTTGCCAGCGATGTGTGCGCGCCGCTGCTGTCAATAGGGAGGTTTCGCAAGCGAACGGATACGCTTACACTTACGCTTAGCTATCCGTATCCGTTTTTTTACTTACGTGTAGCGAGCGAGATATGCGTGTCGTCTGCACGTTTAGCGGATAGTGAGTGGCGTATGACGTCATACGTGCAGACGACACGCATATCTCGCTCGCTACACGTAAGTAAAAAACGGATACGGATAGCTAAACGTAAGTGTAAGCGTATCCGTTCGCTTGCGAAACCTCCCTAATGAAGGAAATGATACACGTTCCCCGCTGGGGTCGCACAACCGTTCCAAACCAAAACCAAAAAACTAATTGATAAAACCGCGTTTTGTTAAGGGAACACATGTGTGCTTGGCCGGTTTTTTAAAACTATATGTTTAAGACCGATTAGAGTCCACATTTTATGTGAAATTGGAAAAGTGTTTAAGACTAGCCAGCCGGTCTTTACCAACCGTTTAAAACTGGCCACGTGACGGGCTCTCGACCAATAGGAGTGGGTAAACTGTCTTAGGTATTTATGACTACCGTTTAATACACGGAGGGGTTGGATTCTAAACCTGTTCTGGACACCAAGTTCCAAGCCGCTGTTCGCCAACTCCGGACAGTCACCACCGCCGTTGGCAGTTAGCGCGTTGATGTACTCCACACACCTCTGATCATCAGTGGTTACAAAGACCGGTCCGTAATCTGTCCCGCATAAAAATGAGTATATTTGCAATTAGTATGACCCTTGCAGGCATGGGCGTCGCCAGGATTTTTTCTAGAGCGGGGCAAAAAATATTGTTGCCAAAAAATGCTTGTATTTCTCAACACATTCTCGATTTATCAGTTTTAGAGGGGGGCAGGGACATCCCCCCCCCCCATGTCATTAAATTTACACCACTTTGTCTTCGCGCCTCTTTTTCTTTTCTTTTTTTTTTCTTTTTTTTCTTCTTTTTTTTTTTTTTTGGTTGCTTTTCCAGGGGGGGGGGGGGGGGGGGGGGGGGGGGGGGGGGGGGGCAAGTGCCCCTCCTTGCCCCCCCCCCCTCGCGACGCCCATGCTTGCAGGAGTGCAATTACAACTTTTAAGTTTGGATAAGTTGGCATATTGAAACAATAAACAAGTTAAGATACCGGTAATAAATCTCGGAGTTGACGGGGTGAGTAATAAGGGCTATGCAAATAAAACGACGCATTAAAACTGCTTGCGTCTTGACTGGACATGTTTCAACTGCGATAATCTGGAACAAAAAAATACTTAATCAATTGAAAGATGTTTGCTTGATGTAATACAGCACCGATTTATTACGTGTCATTCGCACTGAACGATGAGGCGCGCCTATACATGGAAACAGATATTTCTGCTGTTGGACATTTAACGATTGTTGACTGGTGTGGTGTGGGATATGACGTGAACACCCAAGTGGCGAATAGCACCCCGAGACGAAGCCGACGGTGCTATGCGCCCCTCGGCCTTACATTATTTGGACTTTGATGTAAAATCACGAAAACAAACAGCAGTAAACACTACACTAATGAAAATCGAACGTCAACTCACATGCTCAAAACAGCTGATCGTCTGCTAGTTCGCTGCTCCCACTCATGTGTGAAAACATGGTGAAAATAGCGTGGGTACCAACGATACAAGCGTTTATTACGTACGTGATCAGGAGTGTGCCATCATGCAATGACTTTTTATAAACTTAACACGTTATCGTTCTAGGCCAATAACAATACAGTATTAAAGACAAAGGCATAACAATATTGTTTAAAACGGAACTGTTAAAAAACATTTACTTCGGGATGCCAAGTGAGGAAAACCCTCAGAAATCGACAATAACTCGTTCAATGACTGGCTGCTTTTATTGCTTGTGCGTGATCCAGTTGTTGTTCCGACTCCCAGGTTTACAAATTACCCCAAAAACTTGGTTTCTGCTCCACCAACCTGGATCGTTAAACGGTGCGACGACGTACTTGGAGGCCGCCAGGCAGGTTTCTCCGTGCAATCCCACGAGGCGGATCGTCTCCTCTTTCACGGCAGCGACGTCATCGGACATACTTCCCGAAACGTCAATTACGAAAGTCAGCGAAGTGCCTGCGTCCAGGTTCAGCAGCTTGCGGAATTTCTGCTCGCCAATGAGCCTGTACAGACCAGTTTCTGGTGGAAAACAAGTTTATTGTCAATCAAATTGAGGGTTTTGGTTCAGCAATAAAAACGGCAGCTCTTCCCAAACTTGCAATGGCGTTATATCATAATGTATTGATACCACAGCTTGCATTATCTTGCTGTCATCGTCTTCTTTTTACTGGTCTTGAATTTGTACATCTGTCATGAGTTTATTTCTTTCCAAGGCAAACAAAGCCCAATCTTGGTAAAGCGGTGGGTGTTTTTTTTTTTTTGGGGGGGGGGGGGTCGTTTTTTCCCTTCTTCAGCAACTCGTAATATTTTGTCCACGCCCAGTTTTCTGGTGCAACCACCAAAATATGCAAACCACACCCTGACACTACATATGTCACAGCTGAACCCACTTTGACTCCAACTTTGGTGAAGAATATTCCTAAATTTTGTACACGTACCGAATTTAACCAAGCACTTGGTCACGTCGTTTGTAATAAGCCAAAACAGTTGCTTCGCCCAGATATAAAGTCAAAGTAAGATACAGCCTAAATTTGACCTCACTCCGTTTCTTGAAAAACCACAAATTTGTTTGAAATACACTGCAATCCAGGATTGCTGGAAATCTGTCTGGAAATAAGAATATACAGGGTGAGTAAAAAAAAGCGAAACCCAAATGTTGGGACTTCTGTTTTTAGTGAAGTTCTGCATTAAGCATAAAATCTAGGATATGAAAGCCCAATTCGTAAGCTTTCTTTTAGTACAAGAACATTCCAATCACTCATGTACTTTTGAAGTTACGGAATTTTAAACACAACCACCGTTTTACTGTCCACAGATCACAAAAAAGGTGTGCGTTCCTTCAGCAAAACGAAACAATTCACACACACACACACACACACACGCAGTTTTTTGCTATGCTTCCGAGGATTGGCTGTGTTTTCCTTTGTCCCTGTAATATAACACTCTCCCATAGACTAAGCACACAAACCTGCGTTCGAGGACAATAGGCACCTTCCTTCGAGGAATAATGCGTAATGCCATGCAGGAACACCCACACACATTATCGTTTTGCTGAAAGAACACTTACCTTCTGTTGATCCGTGAACAGAACTATAAAACGGTGGTAGTGTTTAAAATTCTGTAACTTCAAAAGTACATAAGTGATTTGAATGATTCTTGCACTAAAAGAAAGCTTATGAATTGGGCTTTCATATTCTAGATTTTAAAAGTGCTTCATGCAGAACTTCACTTAAACAATGGTCCCGACATTTGGGTTTGTTTTTTTTTTTACTCACCCTGTATATTTTCTTACACCGAATATCTCTTGAATGAGTTTGTATTTGACCACACCCACTTTCCCTGGACATGTTTTCTGCCCACTGCCACGCCCCTATTTATTACCCTTTAATTGGCCACGCCCCCTTAATATCGGTCAACAACCCTTTTACACTCCTTTTGGACAAGCCCTTTTATTTTACCACATCCCTTAGATCGAAGCACACCCTGTTTCAGGCGCGATTCTATGGGGGCTAGGGGAGGCTTTAGCCCCCCCCCCCAATTTTGTCTAGCCCCCCCCCCCAAAATAAATCTATTAAAAAATAGAAATGGCTATATGTAGGATAGTGTTCATGATTGTAGGATGTTGTCAGCACTCCACATTGAAAATAGGGTACGAGCCCCCCCCCCTCCAACTAATTGATTTTCGAAGGCGTAAGTGACCGGGGAAAAAAAATCTGGATCCAGCCCTGCCAGCCCCCCTTAAAGATAGGCTCTAGAACCGCGCCTGCCCTGTTTTAATTGATTACACTGCCTTGTATTTTATCCCACCTCTATCATTAGAACACTCCCCCTTTTTATCTGATTTACACCTCTTGTAATAGTCCACCTCCCCAATGTCCCCACCCCTAGCTTTGGACCACACCCCTGGGTATACCTGGGTGGTAGAAGAAGTCCTCGGTGGCTTGTATTGCCGTCAGCGCGGCCTGTTTGTGGAGGGTGTAGTGCGGAGATCGCCGTGGATCCGAGGATTCCTTGTTGATGCCTCCGGTGGCGACCTCGGTCCTGGACGCGTCGTAGAGACCACCATGGGAGCACGCCCCCCAGTCACTTTCTGGGTCGGCAGCTGCGAGAGAATTGAGTTGACATATCAAAATTAATTTTCGGAGTTCAATTTGGGGAGTCGAGTAGGAGCACCCCGGTGACCTGGGGTCGAATCCTACCAAGGGGTGACAGGTGGATTGGAGACGTATCCTCCCACCTGTAAAACCTGCTATTCTTAATTTTATAGGCTTATAACGAAAATTTCCCGTTGACGTCATTAATTCGCAACCAAATAGCATTTGCTTGAAGGGTGATTCTTGCGTTATTTTTATGCAATTAAAGTATCTTGATGTATAATGTATAAGTATAGGGTCAGTGGGACCGTTAATATTTCTTGTCAAAAGAGATAAATTGTTCCTGTCACGGTGTTACACATGTTTCCGTGCATTGCTAAACAGACTCTGATGAGCAGTGGTCCAAATTTAACGAAAGAAACAAATATGGTATAGGCCTATGTTTGTGCAAAGGTAGCCAAATAACTGACATCTACTAGTTTATTTTTTTTTTTTGGGGGGGGGGGCTCGATGCGATAAATAGCAACCACTTCGCGACCACTTTTGCTTGTTCACTTCTGATTATGAAGCACAAAATCTGCAAAACAAGCACAGCATCTAACATCTACATCCAACTAAAACGGAAAAGCCGTTGCAACTTGCTAACGATTGAAAAGCATAATTGCACATTGATAAAGTAATTTAAAAAAAGATGTGGATCTTGAGTTTAGAATTTAGCGGATAGAAACACAAAAAGCATTTAGTATCCAAGCATTCTGGAATGAATTTATTTCTAATTTTGGGCCGTGAGGAATAAGGCACGTGATTATTTACCTGGCTTTGTCACATCCTGCCCGCTTCTGTAGCCGCTGGTAAGGTAGTGAACGTAGGGGCGAAGATTGTTAGAGCAATCTTGCAGTTCGGGACTGTCGAAAAAAATATGGGGAATCGAGAAAAAGAAACGAAAAGAACTTTTACAATGTTCCCAATGATTATATCACATTTACAATTTTCTTTTTATCGGGTCAGTTCAATCACGAATTAATTTGAGGAAGATATTTTTCATATCTTATGACTTATGACTTTGAGCTATAATTGCATAGCCAGTAGCGGATCCGGGGGGTGTAAACATCCCCCTCCCCTCCCCCCGGCCCTCAGCCCCCCCCCATTCAAAACGCTGATTGTTTTTTATTATACTAGTAAAGTTGGGCCAACAAACGATGAAATTTGACTTAAAATTCCTATTTGTTTCTCAAATTTCCTTAGGAATGGGGGAAGGGGCATGCCCCTGACCCCCTATAACGAGGGCATGCTTTCACTCAAATATCAAACACCCCCCCCCGTCTGAATGCGTTTCCTAAAAGCTATAGATCCGCCCCTGATATAGGAATGTAGGATTATATATATATATATAAAAAATGTTTGCAGTATAAAGCTTTTACATTGTAATCTAATATTCGCAAACCTCGTTCTAGTTTTCATGAATCACTGATACGTTTGACATAATCCAAAGCACTGTTCTTTTATCGAATTTGAAGCACTCATCTCTTTCGGTTCATTTTTCGTTGGCGTTTCCCGGATGAATTACCGTGTAATGTTTCCGGCACAGTTTTGACACATGCCTTCACTTTCAGGGCTTTGGCGCAAAGACAGCGGATCATGTATACCTAGAAAAGAAAATTGGAATGCTTTAAAAGATCAAACTATTTATATCATTCAACAAAGATATTTTTCAAACAAAGACACTGACTAAATGGGGAGCCGCCAACACAAGACTGCGCGATAGCTCAGTTGGTAGAGCACCGGAACGGTAAGCCGGAGGATGCAGGATCAAACCCCGCTCTATATACTAGTCAATTTCTTTGTTAACCTTATTTCAGTGCGCAACACGATTTACATGGATCTTATTTTCTTCGTTCCATGCCATTTCCTTTCCATTCCCTCTCGCCAAGAGGCCGTGCATAATTTCTTTTTTTCCCCTCGCAAACACATCTGTCATAGACGTCCTAAGTACATAAATTGTTTGCCAATCGAAATTCAACATTAGACCAAAGCAAATCCGGGTCATCTGGCATCATAACACGGATCTAGATTACAATCAGTCGATATCGAGAAAATCTTGTTCCTGTGTCACATCCGGGCCATCTGGCATGTGATCTGCTTTTTGGATACTTTGTTTTTGTTTTTCTGTTACTTTTGCTATTCACGAAACTGGACTATACATACATCATTCAGTGTGCTCAAGTGTTGCTATGCAAAATGTGCAAATCATTTGTCTTGATTAAGGCAATAAATGTGTGCTTAGCCGGTTTTAAACACGATGTTTAAGACCGGTTGGAATCTGGATGCTGATAATTACCCGAGTCAAAAGCGAGGGTAATTATTAGCATCCAGACTCCAACTAAAAATAAAAACTTTTCGGTCCAAAGCAAATAAAAAATTATATTTATATATAAAAAATTATATTTCCAACAATTTTGTTCAACAATTTTACTTCAACTTTTTCGAAACACCCCTCTAGCTATGTTATGGTCTGTCCCTCTCGCGAGTAGTCGTAAACAATTCCTTATGGGTGCACCCTTGCATTAAAATTCCCATAGACACTAGTGCTAAATGCCCATACTTCAAATTCTCAGTTAAAAATACTCAAAATTCTCACATGTATTTAAGCTGCACAGAAAAATGATGATCAACATGTCATCTTTAATTTTCTTTTCATTTTTTGGTGGGTTGACCATTGACTTTTCGAGAAATTTTCGCCCAAAGCGGAACGGTAGCCATCTTGAAAAACTATCCCTCCACAACATGGCAAAATAGCGCCACTTTGTCGAGCCCAATTGTATCCAAAATGCTCAGAACAGGAAGCCCCAAGTCCGGGCCAGAGGTTCATTGCCATATCTCTTCAATTGCCCAATGTTATGGCTCTCAGAAATCTCTAACGTAGAATATTTTTGGCCTATTTACCGGTGTGCACACTTTAGGACCTTATTCACAAGGAAGCCATTTTGGTCGTGTTCCCTAAATGTATTGTATAAATTGTAAACTGTGGAATGGGATAGTGCCAGACTATCTATGCATTGTAGCCTCATTTAAAAAAAAAATCAAATGTGGCTTAAACACGAGGTAATGTTGCAATTAACTTTACGTCATGCTTTCGTTTCTCTTCGCAAGTTAAAAAAATATAGATTTTACCTCGCTTTCAATTCAATATGGCCGACTCGTGAATAAAGCCCATAAGGAGATGGCGAGCGCGTCGCGCGTACTGCCCGATGTGGGGCACAGAACGCAGCTGTGCCGGTGTATTGTGAATTTAGGGCTATGAAACACTGACTCACTGGTAGTATTGCGCATGCCTACGTGGGGATTGTGAACGTTCAACCAATAAAACGGTAAAAGGCACCGGATTTCATAGGAGTCCAACTTTCATGTGACACTGGAAAAGTGTTGAAGACAAGCCACCGGTCTCTATAAATAGTTTAAAACCGGCCACATGACGGGCTATCGACCTATTGGAATGGATAAACTGTCTTAAGTATTTATGAATAAAGTTTTAATGGCTGAATGTTGGCGCTTTGTTTATTTCTTGCACGTTTAGTTTACTATTTTCGAGTACAGTGTCTTTGTTCTCAATTTATTCGGTGCAATAAAATTAATGGTAACTTTCTTCCGGAGATTGCCAACATTAGGCCTATGTGTCTAATATTCGTTCCTAAATATAGGCATAATCAAAGGTCAGGATGACAGGAAGTGCACGCAATGGCCTACATGTATGGGGAAAAAGGGGGAAAACCCCGTTTGATAACATCACGGACCATCATGCGTGTAGGATCCGTGATTGCATCCGGTTCCTAACAAATTCGTGCATGAAAAACGCGTTTACGAGCACAAATGGGCGCATGCTCTTAAAGTTGCTCCTTTTAAAGCACACACACAAAAAACAGTTATATAAAACGCATAAGAGGAAAAGTGCGTTTCGGCATTTGCTTCAGAATCACAGCGTGCCGTGGGCGGAAACGCTTCCGGGTAAATCCTCTGACCCAGCCCCCACCCCCTTAAAAAAAAACAAATTCGTTGACAGAATTATAGTGTTTGGAAAGGGTTTTTTTCAACGATCGCTCGGCTAAGTAAAGGTATGGGAGAGCTAAGCAAAAAAAAATCCGTTCTGCCACTAGTCCTTTTCATTAAACATTTTTTTAAAAGAATCTTCCTCGAAGCTGGTCGATCCCTAGATTTTATCCCGCTGCAAAAACTTTCAGATACGCAATGGCAACTTATTTTCTTTGCAAACAAAACGCGTTGTGGATTTCAACCAATGTGTTGTGAGTGGTTTAACACGCCATTCCTTGGCTTCGTATCGGAGTAAAGAAAGATGAAACTCTTACCTAGTTCACTGGAGGTGAAGATTTCATCGGGATTCTCGTTAAGCCATCGGTGCAGCTCGATCCAGTTGGTGTTGGAGTAGAAGCTCTGAGCCATGTGCAGGAACTGGCCACAGTACTGGCGCGCCACATCGTAGTCAGGCGTGCTCTCGTCTCCCGCCAGAAGGAGGGTCAGCAAGGTGTCCTGGATGCCCATCATCTTGCGGTTACCTTGGGGGAGGGGGACGTTCGAAGACGGGACACTTTCTTTTGTTCACAAGCATTCAGCCACGACGTTTTATATTGGCGACCATGAAGCTGCATAAACTACATGCAAGGTTGGCAACAGTTTTGCCAACAACCTGATAATTCAGGCCTCCACGCTTCACTTCTACAGCATAACCACCCTTTAGAACCCCTGAGCCTCCTGACGACTGGCACAGCATACTGTCCGAAACAAGTTTCCCTGGTTTTTTCAGAACCTCACAAACTCACAAAAGAGATTTGTAACATGGTGCTACTGTTAACTCAATCTCATTAAAACCAAGAACAAACAAATAAGCTATTAAAACTTTCTTATTTGACCTCCAAGGGATAACTAAACGTTTGAAAGTGCGGGTAACATCCTCACGATATATTTGGGTTGACTTCAGCACGGATCCTACACACAATGATTAACGACTCGGCCCAACTCCTGGTTAGACGCGTGATAACGGCTCGTACTGGTGGCAAATACCATGAATACTTGTCAACAAAGACCGCTGCGTGCGGCGGCTTTCGGATTTGCAGGGCTCTGCGCCCGATATGGTGTCGAAGTCTGTCAAGCCAGCTAATTATATTTTCGAATATTCATGAGTCTACGTTTTGGGTCTTTTTTATTGAATTCTGATAAAGTGATAACTACATAACCATGTTAATGCCAAGCACGATATCTTTAGCTTTAAATGAACAATGAAATGTCGCTTTTGTTTCATCGGTTCGGCATCACATCTCTCTAAAACTTGTTAATGAAAGCCTATAAAAACGAAATTTGGGTAAACGATGTTTTCCTCGAAATTTGACATTTATTTCCCAGGTAAATACTTCATCTATGACGACAAAAACTGCACAATACCATCTGTTATATCCCGAAGTATTTTTTTTTTTTTACAATTTTTGGAACAAATATATCTTACATAAGGAGTAGTTTTGCTAGTAGTTTTACAGTTTTGTGAATATTTCCGTTTTAGATGTCGTGCAAAACCCCGACAAAATGGTATACCTGGAAAATTCGCGATTACGCGCCAACGTATGCCCGTTATCACGCATCTATACCAATTAAGGCAAGTACGTACCCTCAGTGCATTTTGTACTGGAGCTAAGAACAGCCGTTTGTCCTGGTGTGTAGGATCCGTGATTTCAGTGAGAACAAAAAAAGCGCGGCACCTAAAAAAAAATATATCTTTATTTTTCTTAGGTTGGGGTGGGGTAGTTGAGCTTAACGGGAACAATGTTTTTTTTTCTTTGGGGGGGGGGTGGTAAAATGGAGTGTTTTATAAGTCCCTGGACTTCTAACATCTTCCACATAACTTTTTTGCTTTCCATGTGTCTTTGTTATTTATCTTCGTCAAATACTTTTATGTCTTGTTTATCTACTATTAAGCTGCGAGCTTTATTTGTGTTCATTATGGAAGTTATGAAATAAAAACTTGATTGAACTGAATGAATACCTATTTAGCCTTAGGGGCATTCAGGAGGCTGAGAACCTATCTGCTTTTCCCAAATAAGCACCCCCAATCTCCAATTCCTTTGCCTCTTTTACCAGTCCACAGCCCCACCAAGTGGCAGATGCTTTCCAGTCCCTTCCGTATAGCAGAGCTAAAAAGGTGTCATATAGGTTTTCAATCCATTCCATGAGTTTTCAGTGAGTCAATGGGTACGAATACGGTTTCCAAATCGCAGAGCATTAGATCTCGTATCTGTGTTCACATTAGCGTGTGGTCAAAAACATTCACGCAGGAAAATTCTCTTTCGTTTGTTGGTTTTCGATTAGGCGAATTTGACAGAAGTATTCATTTTATCGAAAGTAAAACGCACTTATAGGAGTCTGGATTTGGCATTTGCATTTCTCCAAACCTCAGTCATAGTGGCGATAAGAAAATCAGTTTCATTTAAGCAAATAAATTTATACAATTCTCATGACCTTTTCATTTTATGTGACATTTGCACAAAATGATCACACCAAGTAACAAATCGGTCACTTTGGCCGGCACAGAAAAAAAGTCTGTGTTTTTACGCAGTATTGTGTCGGCAAATATCCAACATTTATTTCCTGCTATCACCTTCAACCTTTACATTTTCTTAGTTATGTAAAAAAAAATGTTCTTATCGTAAAAGCACTGTCAACAAAAAAACCGTAAAATTACGGTCAGTTATGGGTCTTTTCCAAAAACACGAATTTCCCGTAAATTTAACGGTAATTTGCCGTAAAGTAGAAGGAATGCAAAGTGGGGTGGCGTCGGGGCTGGATGCAGGGGTAGTATGGGGGGGGGGGGAATAGGTTCCAGTTGCGGCAGCTGGGAATTGGGTATGCACACGTTTTACAGCTTGTCTGTTACACGCATAGTAGTTTTCGTATCATTTTAGGTGATATTATCTGTAAGTTGTTATGTAATTTTCATTTACAGCTTTTTACTAATCCCACAGAAAGGGGGCCGACCCATTGCTGGTCAACACCGCAGGATTAGCTGCATCGCTCTCCAAATTCTGCAACATCAAAGCATTAACAGTGATCAGCTTTGAATGAAAAATACACGTAGCGAACCTTGCGTGTTTGCACTAGGTGTGTATACGAATCACAGCTTAAAAAAACGGTTTGAAAGGGGAGGGGTTTGGAAAGGTTACGAATACAAAAGCACTGTGAATCCGAGCCTGCGTCATATACGTCAGGGCACCAAGTTTTACGGGAAATTCACGTAGCATGTTCTTTCTTGTGACGCTTCGAGCGATAACGGTAAAAAATACGCGAATTTGACAGTGTTTTGACGGACTTTGTTTACAGTGTAATTTCCGCTTCAAATGTATTTATATTTTTCTTTGAAATAACTGTACGCTCCTTTATTAAACTTTCTCAAAATTCATGTAATTTTAGTCTCTGTTTTAAAACTAAATACATGCAGAACACAATATACATATAATGCAACTGCCTAATTTCATTGTGCATGTGTTACTTTTGTAAATGCACAAAAATGAATTCCTGAGCGGGACTGAAATCTAAAACTCACCAAATTATATGCCGAAAATGTCTCCCTAAGGGTACATTAACAGGAATTGTCAACACTGTTTCTGCGCTTTGCTGGACTTTTTGGAACAGTAATTGAACAGGGACATTATTAAGAGGTCACAATCATCAGGCCTATCAAACAGAACAACGTAAACTTTAAGAATTCTCACGTTTATTTTTAAAACATGACATTGGTGAATATGATATATCAAAAATACTGCATGATAAATGGTCAGCATTGGCTATTTTGGTGAAAATCAAAAGAGGTGGTTTTCATGAATGAAAGGTTTTTGGAAACACCATGTGGGAATAATTTCTCAAACTAAGAGAATGGTTCTGAAAAGAACCAGAGGTATGAACTCGACGTTCCAGTCAGTATGCTCTGACCGTCTTCAGGAGAGTGCCTAAACTCTAAGAAAGTAAACACTTAAGACTAAGTGGTAATATCGAAATCGATGAAGTGTAGAGCAAGCTTGGTGTGCCCACTGAAGTTGAATTACAGTAGGGCTGCAGTCTCAGTAGAGGGAGGACCTATGGTGTATATAGGAGACCCAACAGTCTGAGGTGATAGCAGAGGACCTAGGTTGTTTTCATGTTATCAAGTACCAGCTATGGATTAAGGTCGAAAGGTGAAGGTGCAGGCGTGATGGGGGCTGCGGTTCGTTTTAATCATACAAAAATATTGAAAGCTGGTTAATATCGATACCAACGTATTTGAAGGTTTATACATACCATTGTCAATTTGGTTTCCGTTAAAGTGCCAGACTGCCCTGTGCGAGTATTTGTTAGATATCTGAATGTTCGTATTCAGTATGGCTTTGATGACTCGTTCAAATTTGGTGGAGTATACACAATCTAGCACACACAAAAAACAGCCAGGATACATAACAAGACGTTAAAATAAAGCCATACATTAACATGCGTTTCAGAAGACTGTTCGTGTCACTGTAAAAAATAAAAACAATTTAATCGACGTTTCGGTGCCAATCGGGATTACTATAAATGTAAAGTCGTTTTAGATGCTTTCAGCCCTACAGTAAAGAGTAGCTGTCTAAAAAGAGAAAAAAATCATTTTATTAAATTTCAATGGCTCTGAACCCTAACTCTGTGCATTGCTCTAAACAAACATTGTTTGTATGGTTTACCAGTTAAGGAACTATTGTGATAAAGAGTCAAAATATTCATTGTTCATCTGATAGGCATTCCCAACAACCGTTCTTGTTGTTAAGTCAGCTAATTACATACAAGAAATTGACAGATTCGAAAAGTGAAGTGACTTTGGACAGTACGTATTCGTACGTCGAGCTAATAATATCACTTTGTGTTTTTTCTTAGAATCACGCGTTTCTTTCATAGTTATTAGTCATCTCAAAATTATCGGATATCCACGAACATCTCTCGAGTTGAACTATCCACCGTGCAAAGCCCCAAGTATCATGTACATTGCTATATGACTGTGTGTGCATGGGTCTTACCTCCGTAGTGCCTCTGAAACAACCGCGAAGGAGTCAAGGGATTGAGTCCCGTAAGATCGCCCTTACGGTACCGATCCGGATTGGTATCTTCGAAGTACCTCGCCACGGCACGCACGATACCCTGCACCGTGATGTCCGTGAGGGTGTAGTCGGTCACTGGTAGCGAAACACCGGCGTTGCTTGGCAGGAACGCCCCGCTCTGGCGCACCAGGCAAGTGGCCACAAAGACCCACAAGATATGCATCGTCGTCGCGGTGAGCTGCCTCATTTCAGCGTCGTAGGTGGGTTATATGAAAATACCACACTTCCCGAAAACGCTCAATGTTGATAATGGAGCCGAGATACGAAACAGCCGACCTAATATTGTTCTTGCCAACACAACCACCATAAACAAACACACTTAGGAAATGTTAGGAAACGTGTTTTTTTCACGTTTTCCTTCCTCATCCATTGGCACTAGCTGCCTTTGGAGGATTGAGATTACGTGGCAGACGTGCGCTACTGATTTCGTAGGATGCATTTCATCAAGGTCTTAGGCCGGATCTTGTGTTGTTTTTGCTCTGCCAAGCATAAATATAGACCTGGATTATGCTTGAAATCCTCCATACTGCTCCAGGATGTCACTGAAGCCTCAACACTGATATTGGCAGTCACTGCCGCAGGATTTTGCATGACTCAGCAAGGGGTGACCCTCCGGGACCATATTCAAGAACTAATGGTAATTTGCAGGATTGAGGCTGTATGTTGTTTTTCCATGAGGCCAATTGGAGGATTTTACAGGATTGAGGCTACATAAGATCATTGGCAGGTTTATCCAAACACGTAACTGACGCTGTCAAAAGGGATCGTAAATGGGGGAGTAAAAGGGAAGGGTAATAAACTCCCCGTGAAATTATTCTTTCTGGCATGCTGTCCGTTTGAAAGACAACACCACAAGAAGGCCATTTCCAAACATTCGTCAAGTGACGCATATTAAAATACTGTATTTATTTTGTAGAAAAGTCGTTTCTTGCCTTTTTGTGTGATTTTAATTGTATCTCTATTTGACTTCTTTATTTTCTGTAAGCACTCTTTACTAAGGGCAAGTGAAAAGTTTCTCATCCCGACTCGTTTTTTATTTCCTGCCCTCCTCTGTTTTTGTTTCTAGATTTGCAAGTATATATTTTTATATTTATTATATTTCTGATATTTTTGCAAAAGTTGTGTCCCTTCTGGCCCACATTAATTCTCTATGCCTGAAACTTGGACATAATCCTCTCCCCTCTGGATATTGTTGTCCGGCCGAAGGAAAACAGACTTCCGTAATTAGCTGAATTCTAATTGTCGTTATGATCACTTATTCTATGTAATATACCCCTGTGATATAGGCAGATTCGGCGATTAATTATGCAACTACATGTACAGACATCGAAATTGACCAATCAAAATCTTAGTCCAGATTTTGGAGTGAATTGACGTCACGCATGCTTAGATATATCAAATATTCGACCGGAGATGGGCTCCGTGGAGAACGGGTGATATTCAGACTAATATTTTATGCCACAAGGCAAATAAATTATGATCTTATAATAATGTAAGTGCCAACTTGTGACTGAGTATATAAGGACAACATTGCAGAGGCAAACAAACTTAAAATGGCAACCTGAATTACAAATGCCAGGAAAGACGACTACATTCATCATACGACGTATAGGCTAGGCCCACATTCTGCCGTTGTATCTTCCGTGACCTTTGACCGTGCAGTGCCCTTCCTACTGTCTCGTGTGTGGGTGTAAATCTTTCAGTCCATAGTCTAACAAGGGACTTTTTTCCTGAACAGCAGTTCTGGTTTACGCCGGTCATATAGATGACCGTAAGACTCCACTTTCGCGAGCTATGCCAACGTTGGCAACGTTTGCGCAAGTGGCGAACGTTAGCAGGCTATGTTTTCCAAAATGGCCGACACACAGTGCAGTGCACGTAATGATCCTTTATCGGGGCTATGTTGAACATATTACCGGAACATTTCACTTCACTTCACAGTGACACTTTAAAGGATTGCATACAGGGCGCCAACATTTTGAAAACAATGTGTCGATGACATCAATATATGTTTCATTTGGGTGAGCACATTCGCAGGGCCTAGTAAACGAACATTTGGCCAAAAAACAAACAAATAGTCGGTCTCTGGTCAGACCGAAGTTCCGGAATTGATGCGGCGACGCATCAATTGGTGTCCTCCATAATTTGCCTTTGGTGCCCTTTATCATTTGCCTTGGTGCAATTTCCCCATTCCTTGTTGCTCCTTGGTACAAAAATGTGAAGAGGCGCGGCAATAGAGGGCGCTGTTGTAGCTTCCATGTTAATTTGGGGAAAAAAGGTTGACGCGCATGATTAAAATCCATGTTCACAACTATTTTTGGCAGCTGTGTAGGACATGTCGATTTACTGACATTATTAATATTTGCTCTGAGAAATTAATGACATTTGATTTTTATCAAACATTTTTTTAATTTTTCATTTCTCAATAATTAAAAATAATTTGTTTTATGGTTATTAAATATCCGCAAGGCGTGGGAAGCTAGTGGGCATACGGGTTTATTTTTGAAATGCTTTCCTAAAATATATGTTATGAAGGTGTGTCTGTGTCTGAGGGTGTGCTGGGTGTATACTGGGTTCTTTAAAGATATTACGTTCTCATTCATAACACTACAAAGATAATAGGTCTAAGACGCTGGGTTCTTTCAAATTTGACGTTCTTATTCACAAAACTACAAAGATCTGTAGGTCTAAGACGCTGGGCTCTTTCAAATCTTACTTTCTCATTCACAACAGTATAGGCGCGGTTCTAGAGCCAATATATTTTTTTGGGGGGCCTTAGCAGGGCGGATCCAGATTTTTTTTTTAGGGAGGCGTGCTGAAATGTAGACCGGTTATTTTCTCCAGACACTTAGGCTTCCGAAAATCGAATAGGTGGGGGAGGGGGGGGGGGGGGAGGGGGTTCGTGCCATATTTTCAATGGGGAGTGCCAATAAAATCCTACAATCAGGCACACTATATTAACTACAAATGCACCCTTGTCACGACTATTTCTTTAGGGGGAGACCGTTCGCATGTACGTCACATTCTTTCTTTTTGCTAATGCAATTTTTTTATGGAATTTTTTTGGGGGGCTAGACAAATTTTTGGGAGCAGCCCCCCGTAGAACTGCCACTGCAACAGTATACAAAGACATGTAGGTCTAAGACAAGGTTCTTTCAAATCTTACGTTCTCATTTATTTACAACACTACAAAGATCTGTGGGTCTTATTATTAGACGCTTTCAAATCTTACAATCTCATTCACAAAACTACACAGACCTGTAGTTCTGAGACGCTGGGTTCTTTTGAATTTTATGTTATCATCACAAAACTACAAAGATCTTTAGGTGTAAGACGTTGGGTTCTTTAAAAACTTACGTTCTCGTTCACAAAACTACAAAGATCGTTAGGTCCCCCGGCTCACCACTGAAAGTAAAGGGAAAAGAACTATGGTCCCGTTCGTTTCGCAATAAACCTATATGACGAGGAACAAATTATGAATACTGTGACGGAAAGTGTAGTTTTTATGCACATGTACATGTACATGTTATTGTATTCTTATCTTATGAATGAACTGTAGTATAGTAGGCCCGTGACTGGGCGTGGCTTAGCAATCAGTGCTTGCGTGTATGCACGCTCGCGATTGGTTAACAAAGCCCCATAGGTTTAGTGCAGCAAAATAGTTTAGTGCACATGCTATGTATGCGCGTGGGGAGATTGCGCGGGGAGTTTCTGGCAAGTGGCGGCGAGCTGTACGAAGGTGAGTTGAGTGTGCTCTCGCTGTGGTGTGTATTGCTATATGGGCTCTGTGCGGCAACGAAAGAGGGCGCCCTTTTGCCTAGCAACGACGTACCATGGGCGGGACATTTAGCTGGTTGACGCGCACCGTTCCTTGTGGGTGACGCATGTACACCAGGGGATTTGTACTATGTACACACAGTGGTTCGGCGGCCGCGCGTCGCGGCAAAATTTCAGTCAGGCAAGATGGCGTCGGTCGGTCACCCCCAACTGTGCTTTCTTTGCCGGTGAGGGGGTACTTGTGAACGGAGCGGATGGTGATTGCGCTATATGCTACGCGCGGGCGAACTGTTAGACAGTTTAGCCGTTCACTTGCGGGTGCATTGTGGTTGATTGGGGCTGGGCCCATGGTTTCGTAGTGCTACGTGCGCACGAACCATATGCAGTATTGGTCTGTGCATTGCTATAGCGTTCATTTATTGCAGCATTAGTTCACAGCTCTTGTTTTCGTTAAGATTTTTAGCTGTTTCGGTGTACAAACCGAAACAGCTCTTGTTTTCGTTAAAAAAACTTAGACATCAATACCCCAGCCATCCCCTATGTCAATCTTGGATCCGCCTCTGCTACACACGGGGCATGGGAGTAGAATAAGCGGTGAAACTTAGCCCACTCCTTAACTTTAAGCCATTCTGTATCCGGGAGGTGTGGGGGTAGGGAATCGTTTTGAGTGACAAACATGAAATATCCGTAAATAATGTTAAGTATCGCAATTGCATCTTGGGTCATTATTTCCTGGTGACGTCATATGCCTTTCAAGGAACTCGGGAGGGGCAGTCATGCGGACGGGGAGGGGGTGCACAGAGATATACAATTCTGACTAGCTTTGTGTATTCTAAATATATTTTTTTCCCTAGCAAAATTCTGATTAAGTTTTAACAAAAATCGATCGGTTACAAGATCCTCTGCGTCAACTGTTTTATTCAAAAAAATATCAATGAAATTGTAGTTATAATGTACTACATCCAAGGGCAGATCCAGAACACAATTTTGGGGGGCCAAAAAAAAATTTTGGTCCCCCCAAAAAAGTGGGTCAAAAAAATTACGGCGTGGGGTTCGGGGCCCGCTTAAGGGCCCCGAAAAATTTTTGGATTCTAGATGCTCTGTGGTGCGATCTGAGGCAATTTCTGACCACTTTAACCAATGTTTTTTTGAGGAAAAGATGGTGGTGTACTCATTGCCTGCCTTTATTGCGATGTCACAAAAAAAAAAAAATGGTTTCGTTTTGGGGGGCCATGGCCCCCTTTGCCCCCCCTGAATCCGCCCTTGACTACATCAAAGTCACAAACTGTTGACTTTCAACCTTGTGGTTTGGATAGTTAAACATATAACTGCCTTTGCCCACAACAGCCATGAATTGGTGTTCTCTATGAATTGATGCTTGTTTCTGAAAAAGTGTATTTTTTTAAAGAAAATATTTAAATTCGACACATCTTTTACAAATGGCACAATCTGCTACCGTCTTTTACAACTGTTTAGTGAAACTTAAAAAGAAAGTGATAAACTAGCAAATATTGTTAGACAATGCTTTTGTATCGCACTTGTTTTTGTTTCGGCTTCATGTGAC